TAGGGATCTTCTGTCCTATTTTTTTCCTTTTCTTTGGAAGTCTATTGGCTTTCTGTGGCAATACATGTTAGACGTGTCCTTGAAGAAAAGTGTAACTGACTTTTTCATTTTGCTTTTAACTAGGCATCAGAGTTAGGTCAGAGTTTAAATGAAAATGTTCTCAAACCTGCACAGGAAAAGGTAACTTTGGAAAATGAATACATGACTGATGGGTTTTGAATGTTTTATCCTTCTTAACTATATATTGAAAGTGACAAACTGGGCTATCTTTTGGAAAATTGGTCCAATATGAATGCACAGTTCCTCACTATTACAATCTAAAATTTCTTCTCTATTGATTTTGTCAAAGCCATGTTGTGCCATTATGCTTCAAAATACTTGTAGACAAAGATGCAACTGGCTGATTGAAATCAACATGAAGCCTCCTTCCTCCCTAATTTCATTCTGTATTGTATATAGTTCATCTTTCAAACTCTTACTTTTTAAAATTACATTTATCTTACCTGCCCTTTCTCCAAGGTCTCTGGGTAGTGCCCTTTTCTTTTTAACTCAACAACCATTGAAGGAGATTAAGTTGAAATATAGTGACTGTTTCAGGATTTGAATCTGGATCTCCCCAGTTACAGCCTATTATTATTATTATTATTATTATTATTATTATTATCCTGCTTTTCTCCTAAAACTGGGCGGCATACAATTTAAAAGGAACAATACAACTAAAAACATACAAAAAGTGAACATTAAAATGGAATTTACTAATCATTATGTTAAAACAGTTCAAATCTACACTGAATAAAATGTAATTAAAAAGATTAAAAACTATTAAACAGATGAATTAAACCAGTTAACAATAATGCAGCAGCTCTTGGCCCATTCTTTAAAAACTTTCTGGATTAAAAGCCTATCAAAATAAAAAAAAAGGGTTCTGCTTGCTGACAGAAAGATATTGGTGGGGAGCATTCTGGTTTCCCTTGGATGGGAGTTCGGAGGCCATATTCAGAGTTTCCAGTGATCCATTTCATCCAGGAAGCCCTGGAGGTAGGAAGCCACTCCATGCTCCAATATCTCACCCAAGAATGATACATTAAGACACTGGCTGATAATTTATCCATTATATAGGAATTCAAAGATGGCTTTTCCAACAAAGACCCAACTACTGCCTCTCTTGGTTATCAATGGAAAATGCTTTCTGAAGACAGTATTTTGTTAAATAAAATACTGATTGAATTCTCAGTTATGTTTTGTAGGTTAATATTTATACCTGTGATAACATGTCACCTTTTAATTTTTGAATTAAGGTACACAGGCTTTTAGATGTTCTTACAGTTTACAAAAAGGCTATAAATGTTGTATAAAATTCTGAATATGGATGCATTTATGATATTATTCCCCCCCCCAGCCATCAATCATACTTGTCCTTTTTAAAAAAATGAGCACTCTTTATACAAAGCACACAACATGATTTGCTTCTTGGGTGGTTAATGTGTGAAATCAAAAACTTCTGTTTGCCCAAAGAAACATTTCAGCAGTTGGTGGCAGCAGGTAACATCTTAACAAGCAGTGGACACTCTCCTTTTGACTTCATTGTCTGTGGAATACAATATTTGTTTTTACTTTGGTATAACAAACTTTTCTCATAGGCTTTATTGCTCTTTACCTAACTGTCTTAATTTATATAGGTGAAAGATGGAAAAATTTTGGAGGATGTTTCCCAGGGTGTCTCACATTTGGCTTCCAAGGTACGAATTGGCCTGCCTAGCAATTAGGAGGCCATATATTAAGTTAGTCTCCATATTCCTTTAGCATATGAAGCTCCAGCACAAGGATTTATGATGCTTGCAACACACAGCCTTGGCAAATGGCTCTCCCCTGGCTTTTATTTACTCTCCTTATGGAAGAGTTTTCTTCCTAATTCATGCATTATTTTTAACATCAAAGTAATAAGCAGTTTGATCCATCCATTTTTTGTGGCAAATAGATCTGAATATGATCCTATGTGGGGAGAGCATGCATTAGCTAAGGTGATGTATGAATTAGGCTTTGTCTGAAACTTATTTTCATTAACAATGAGGCTGACAAACATGGGCAAATGTGTACTGCCAAGATCTGCATTGAAAACAGTGGAACAGAAATTTTCAGTAAAGGCTGCATTAAAGCATTATGAAACATAGCAATTGATTGAATCTCTTATCAGCCACCAAGCTTGCAAGGAATATGGAAACAACTTAAGATGAACTGAAGTATGTCTAAACTTTACTAATCTATGTGCCTTCTTCTTCTGCTTGTATTCTTGCTGCCATTGCTTAATATAACCGGTAAGTGCTAATGCCTCCTAGGTCTTTAGTATTTTCATGTTGAATGCTTCCTTTCTTAAACTACTGTGGTGTCATGTTTTCAGAAAAGTAATAAAAACACTGATCCAAGTTTCTTGGAGAATTCTTAAAATCTGTGATTCTTGTAATTACTTGAAATATTTGTTGTGAAGAACACATTGCATTCTTGTATAGCAGCTACCATCTTAATTTTTATTTTCCATTCTTGTGATAGCTCAGAAGCCAAGGTTTTGCCTGCCTTGCTTAGTATCTGGCAGTGTTGCATGAGCAACTCCTAGCTGAATCTCATTCTGATTTGGCAGAGTTGTGCTTTTGCTAGTACCTTTTCAGTATACCTTCTGTGGTATGAAAATAAAAACGATGACATAGGAAAGGATGCAGAGAGCCCCATTTATATGATGTCAGATGTTTCTGCCTGCAGTATAAGGCTTGATAATTGTATAGAATGCAATTCTGCTCTCTTGATCTTCCAGAAAGAGTGACTGGAAGCTAGGAAAGATCTGGATGGGAGGGCTGAAAAAACACTGTGTTGCTTGCAGCCCTTTGAAGGCTGGCCATAGCATTTAATACTTGTATTATTTTTATTGTGAGTTTTAACATGTGAACCTATCTTGCTACCATATTTTAAAAACACATAACCAGTGAGTATGTACAGGAAATTGTGATGTTAGCAAATCCATAGGGAGAACAGATTCTGTGACATCAACCAGAAAGTGTTGCTCCTTCAGCCCTGTCAAATTCAGAAAAATATACATTGGCAGGAACTGTATATAGAGAAAAACTGTTTCTCACTATAGCCCACTGCATGAAATCGGCTTCACAGGCAGATAAGGAAGGTGTGTGTGTGTGTGTATAGTGTTCTATTTGCTTTTTGTCATAAGGTGTAGAATAGAGTTTTGTAATTTTTCTTTGATTTTCCTTTTCTTCTTTGCCTCATTCTTTTCCACAGGTCCAGGGAGCAAGTAGTAAGGGGTGGCGAGATGTTACCACTTTTTTTTCTGGAAAAGCAGATGAGCCTTCTGAAAGGTATCCTATTTGTGTGTTCATGCTTAGAGAAATACTGCATGTACCTGACTGTAAGTCAACCTCGCATATAAGTCAAGGGCACATTTTAGGGCCAAAATTATGGTTTTTGATATGACCCATGGATAAATCAAGGGTAAAACTTAGAGGCATGTAACAAAGGATGTAAAGGAGCCCTGGTGGCGCAGTGGTTAAATGCCTGTACTGCAGCCACTCACTCATAGACCACAAGGTTGCAAGTTCAATACTAGCCAGGGCTCAGGCTAGACTCAGGCCTGCATCCTTCCGAGGTCACTAAAATGAGTACCCAACTGTTGGGGGACAATGAGCTTACAGTTGTAAACCACTTAGACACCCCATAGCGTGGTATGAAGTGGTATATAAATGAAGCTGCTTTGCTAAAGGACAAGCAAAGGAAAACAATGGTAAAGAACTTACAAAATTCTGTCAGGCATAACTGTTTGTGCTCACCCTAAAGGCTGGATGGATGAGGAGGGAACTACAGTGGTAGCTTGCAATGTGTTGGGGAGGCAACAGCATCGGTGGGATTAAGAAAATGCACACTCCAAAAAAGATGAAAAGACAAAGCAAAGAAAATGGCGAGTATCTTAGCATTGATTATAGCCTTTAATTTTAATGTAATTTCTTTCCCTAATTTTAACCCAGAAGAACTGACAAATGTACACAAATGACTTATTCAAATCCTGCTGAGCCCATTTTCTCTTAGTGCACCTTTGAGGGGAAGCGCCAAAGAGCCACCACTGCCACAATTTTCCCACCTAGGCATTCAAAAAGGTCAAAAGCAGCACCACAGCTGAGAGAGTAGAGGGGGTCAGTGCTTCTTTTTGGTGCTTCTGGAGTGGACTAAGCTTTTGTCTTTTGCCAGTCTTCTCAGAGAAGTGGCTGTTGATGTGAGTTAAAGTACAGTTCTTACATTTGACCCATGGATAAGTCGACCAAGGTTTTTTGGGTCAGTATTTTGACTAAAATTTCTAGATTAACACATGAGTATATACAAAACATTCTGGGCTCCCCTGTCTTACATGGATATATGAATTGCTGCTTTTATGGCAACAGGATTGACATAC